GCTGGATGCAGCTGTACCATGGGTAATTTTGGGTGGGATGCAAAGAGAGAATCCCATTCAGAGAACAGAGTTTGAAAAAGACAAGGGAGCAGAATGTCACTGCTTAGGAAGCTGAAGGGATTTCCACTCTCGCCTCCTTAGGGCCCCACAGCATCCTTCATCTCCCTTCAATTCTCCTTGTTCTCCAGCCCTCCCCTCAAGCTCAGAGAAAGAGAGAGAAAATAAGAAAGCAACATGAATTTATGCCAAGAAAGAAACTGCAGCTTCTCAAAAATGGAAGGCAGGGTCATCCTCCTAATATTTTGAATGTGGACTGTTCCAGAGAGCAGCAAGATGTGTCAGGAATGAGATTGTTCTGAGCAGGGCCCCAGGAACACTGCCGGGCTCCACCAGAGAGATGAAAGAATTTTCTCCTTCCTTTGCCTTTTAAATGTAATTCTGTCTGCCCTCTCCACCCTGCACACCCTGTCGACCCTCTAGCTGGGAGCGGTGCAGACATTTAGCCATTCTGGGAAAAGACAGGATCCTTTTCATTAACTTCAGCCTGATTGGAGTCCCTAGGGCCATGGCAGATTTCATTTTCCTCCCTCTCTGCCTCCCTGTCTTGGATCCCCCCCAACCCCCGACACAGCAAGGCTACCATGAGCAGTGAACTATTTCCCAATGGGATGGAGTGGAGATAGGGTTCAAGCAGGGGAGGCAGTAGAGAAGGGTCTGGGACGTGCACTTTTCAAGGCAGTGACTTTGAGGAGGGACATGTATACTTCCTCCCCATGCTTCAATTTCCCCTGGATTTCTGAGCAAATCTATCCCAGCTTTAGGGTAGAAATCAGCAGCCGGTTATGTCTGGTTGTCAGTGATGGACTGGACAGATATAATCTCTACTGGAGGTTTCTGCAGAGGTGCTCGGGTTAGCAGACTCAACCAATCCCATTGTTAATTAGCAGTGTGATCTTGAAAATGTCACTTATCAGCTTCTTCTGCAAAATAAGGACTTAGTCTGGAGTTTTAAGGTATGTTTTAGTACCAAACATTGGTTTTCAGCTGAAGTCACATACAAGAACCAGGGAAAAGCAGAGCCACTCTGAGTGAAGGTAGAGAGACAGGCACAGTGTGAGCCCTTTGTCTACACGTTTTCTCACCCCAGTTTCCCAGCAGAGGTGGCTCCTGAGCCCACTGGGGACACACTGATTTTCTCCTCTTCTCCAGGGGCCTCCAACTGCCTCCCCAAGACCCTGACACTAAGAATGGAACTCTTCTGCAATATCCTGATGTAGGTGGTCTGTGATCTTTTCCTTTATTTCTAATCCACACTTGAGCACCATATATTAGTGCCTGACGTTCAGCTGTTTCTCCATCCCTTGGTGTGGAATTTGTAGACTTACGGGAAGTAATCTGCTTTGAAAAGGGGAGTGCTCAAGATGCAGGGCCTATGTTTGACCCAACAGTCCATGCATTTGGTTAGAGCATGGTTAGAACTCAGAAAGACCAAGAAGGCAGAAGGCCAGAAAAGCCAGAAAAGCAAGGGGTCATGGCGTAATGGTGAGGAAAGCCACACTGTTGTACATACCGTTTTCAGGACTCATTGTGAGGAGATGTCACAAACCTTGCCTCTGGTTGTTTCCCAGGTCAGATAACACCTTCAATGCATGCTAGTTTGTGAGTTAAACTTTCCGAATCTCCCAAGTAAAGGAATCCAGATAGAAGTTATTTGAGTTCCATCCCTGACATTATATCCCTGCATCCTCCCACACATCATCAGATGCGCTAACACATCTGAACTGGGATGGGCCCATTTAACATTTTACTGTTTCAACCAGAGCAAGGGGTGATGGATTTATTCACCATTCAGCTTCTTTCCCTTTTATACTGTTCTTCCTTAAATTTAACCTCCAATTTCTACACTGAAGCAGCACCCAATATTCTTCTAGTAAAACCTGTAGCGGCTGGAGAAGAGCTTGTCCCCAGTGCCTGAGTTGATTAACTCATTCAATTATTTGAGTGCCTGCTTCACACAGCAAATGTGCTAGGCACTGAGTGCTGTTTCCTTTTGTTGGCTTGGAAGGTATCTTTAGCCTGCTTCTCACACTTCTGTTCTCTAGGCTCAGCAATTTAGGTATTCTGGTCCTCACCTCTGGGCTGACAATATTTCCACTTTCCTTTTAAGTCATTGGGCAAACAGGTTATTTAGTGACTAACTGTATGTCCAGACTCTTCTCAACACGTTGAGATATGCAAAATTTACATAAGATAGAAGCCATAGTCTTTTTAGACAGGGTCTTGTTGGGCATGTTCTTGTTAGGTGAAAAATAGACGAGTAAAAATACATGCAACAGCATGAAACAAAACTAGGAAGATCTCTGCCTTCTGCACGCCCAGGGTCTGAAGAATTCGAGCTCTGAATCTAATATGCTAACACATGTTGGTGGGCGTGTTCCTGCACTGGTCACTCTCATGCCTGTACCTCATCCCAGCCTTTTATTTTCCCTCCTTTCCAGCTCCATCCCAATGTTGTGCCCAGCTCAAGCTAAAGGTAAAGGTTTACTGATAAACTCAGATGAGTAAATGGTCATTATCAATTAAATACAAGCATTTCTGCAAGGAAGAGTTAGTTAAGGGTCGTTCGTGGGGATGCATGTTTTATGTTACTTTCTTTGGCTCATTTGACTAATATTCTGGCACTCAGCTTTTTTCCTGTGCCACATCTCAACAAATGGTCTCCGGTGTGCTATAATTCAGAGGCATTTTATTATAGAAGAAAAAGCATGAGCTTTGGGAAAATATAGTTGGGGATTTAAATCCCAAATACATGTACTGGCTGTGAAACCTAGAAAATGTTACTTAGCTTCCATAAGTCTCAATTTTCCCATCAGAAAAGAGGAGATACCTTCTGTCTCATGGAGGAGCTGTGAATATTAAAAATGAAAAATTACATAAAGCAGCATCCAGAATGCCAGCCACCCAGGTGATCCTCAATGTATCCTAATTCCCTACCTTTCTCCTTAAGGTAGGCTATGGCTGGCACTTAACAGATGCAAATGGAGGGGTGTTAGGATTGGCCATTTCCTTTTTCACATCTTTGCTCTTGCACCTGCTCGCACCCGAAGTGCCTTGCCCTACCACCTTTCCAGTGAATTCAAGGCCAAATGCAAGCTCCATCTTATTTCAACAAGCCCACCCTGACTGCTCTTGCTTCATTTCCCCAGTTTGATGCTCACACTCGACTACACTCTGCTCCCACTGATGTACACGTGTCTGCATGTCTGATTCTTCCACCAAACTATAGGTTCCTTGAAGGCAGGGACTAAGTCTATCATTACATTTCACCCTTAATTCCTAGCATGTGGCCTAATGGGTTGTGGCTTGGCTGTTTCATTACAATCGGAGGGGTCAAACCAGCTCTCCACCAGGATGGTGCTGCCTGCCACCAAGACACCTTCCACATGGGAGAATCTAGCCTGCAGGATGGGGAATGTGGGGTTGGGGAACAGCAAAGTGTTTACCTTCTCCACCTCTCTTCTGCTGGATCCTAGCTTCAACATCACTTCAGCACCATTTATGGCAGTCATTTAAGGAAGCTAAAAAATCCAGTTGAGCTTTTCCGAAGGCTGGAGGCCCTGGGGCTCAGCATGACTTCTTCTCTTTCTTGACCCAAACAAAACATTGTTACAGCAAACATGAAGTCTTTTCTATTTTTCACAAATGCTCTCCAGGCCTAACAAAGCTAGCAGTCACCCTCCTTGAATCAAAATAAGCATCTGCCCTTTTTCTCTTTATCTTACACTTTCCCAGCATGTATTATAAGAATGCGATTATTTTACTAATTAATCCTCTATTTTTATTTAACTTTTTTGGTGCAAAACCCTGGAAAGGATGCAAAAATATTTAAAACCTTAACTGTAGTCTTTAATATTGATTAAACACAGAGGTGCAGAAAGTCCATATAACTGACTCTTACTCTCTTATGTTGTGTATGATTGTTTGAAGCATAAATGATAAAAACCTAAATAGTGTATAAAATCATTGGCAGCCTATGACAAAGGGAAACTGAGTCACATGTAGCTGTGAAGAGGAGAGGGTCATTTTTACTGAGCTCATTTTTTTGTTTGTTTTAATAAAGAAAAAACGGTCAGGCACAGTGACTCATGCCTGTAATCCCAACACTTTGGGAAGCCAGGGCAGGCATATCACTTGAGGTCGAGAGTTCGAGACCAACCTCACCAACATGGAGAAACCCCGTCTCTACTAAAAATGCAAAAATTAGCTGGGCATGGTTGCGGGCACCTGTAATCCCAGCTACTTGGGAGGCTGAGGCAGGAGAATCGCTTGAACCTGGGAGGCAGAGGTGCGTTGAGCTGAGATCATGCCACTGCACTCCAAGCCTGGGCAACAAGAGTGAAACTCCATCTAAGAAGAGAGGGGGAGGGAGCGGGGGAGGGAGGAGGGAGGGAAGGAAAGGAGGAAGGAAGGAAGGAGGAAGGAAGGAAGGAAGGAAGGAAGAGGAAGGAGGAAGGAAGGAAGGGAAGAAAGGAAGGAAGGAAGGAAAACTCTCTTAGAGGAGATGGACCTTTGTTTCTGAAGCAGTAAGTCTTGTATCACAGACCACTTTGATAGCAGGAAGAAAGCCAGGGCCCCTCTCTCTAAGGAAATATATACATCTGTAGATTCACACATACTTACAATTTCAGGGAGCCATGGACCTGATGAACTCCATCCATAGCCCATGGTTCCTAATTTAAGAGCCTCTGAAGAACTGATAGCACATAGAAATAATTTAGAGAGAGCAGCAAGAGAGAGGTGGTGAAGTCAGAGATGGAGCACAAGGTGGGAAGGCCACTGAGCCTAGATTCCCGGTCCAGAAATCTCACATTTGTCTTCTGCAATCCCACTTCTGTAGCTCTCATCCAGGCTATGGTAAGTCCATTGCAGGTCAATTGTCATGGAGATACTGTATGCAAACTGAAAAGTGTCACTGAGAAAATTTCTTTGTTTTTTTCCAGCTCCTCACAGCCAGTGACCTTGCAGCCAGTGACCTCAAAGGATTTCAGCCACAGGTAAGTTCCACTGATGCTCTTATGAAGTTTGGAAGAGTGAAATGCTCCACATTTTGGTGGTCAACAAGCACCCTTGGGGCCAGGACAGAAATCCCAACCTTGGATTTCTAGCTTCTTTCCCTCGAAATGCTAACTGTGAGAATGACCTGGTAGCTTTCTCTCCTCCTCCAGCTCCTCTCATTCCAGCATGGACAAAACCACCTCTTTTGGCTCTTTCATTCCTAATATTGTATAGTGGAAAAATATATAGAGATCGAGATGCTCGGAATGTTAAGTGTTGGGGATTCAGCTTAGGAAAGGGTTAAACCAAAGGCGGCAGAGGGTGGGATGGGGTTCGGGTTCTCCCCTGTATTTCTCTCTTTTTGGATAGGACACTCACATTTCTGTAATCTTTGTGGCAAATGCCTCACAGTCAAGGCCTGACAGCCAAGTTAATCTCAGACTCCTGCAGAGGCAGACAGTTGAGGTTGGCTGATCTTGGTCAGGAAATGGGCCGCTGTTATCTCTGGCCAGAGTGGTGTTTGGAGGTTACTATGGGCAAACTGTGTGAGGGTGTAGGCAAGGGCTTTCTGGAGACTTTTTTGCAGGGGTGAAGATGGACATCATCCTCCCTGTCTCTGGAAAAGGAGTCTATACACAAACATATAAATACCAAGACACATACAAATCCCAGCTATACAAAAGCCCTTGTTTGCTCACACAGAGCCCAGTATAGGTAGAACGTATACATAAAGAAAGATAAATCCAAAGGTGATCATTAGGGGACTTGGCCCTTGCCCTGTCCCCCTTGCAAAATGAAACTTTCTGTCACCCTTCAGCTCAGTGCCTGCCTCAAGGTCTCAGTGCTGTACCTTTGTGGGAAAATACATTATAGCTAATGGCAGTGAACTTCCAGGGGTCAGCAAATACTTTTCTAATTGCAGGAGTTTCATATATTTGGGAACATTTTCTTCTTTAAAGGTGTTTCACATCCAGGAGCCCACTGCATCCTCCCTACCCTTCTCCCAGGTGAGCCACATCCTGTGTGTACCCTCTCACTGCTGAGGAACCTGAGGACCCAGTCCTGATGCACTGTGGCCCCAGATCACACAGAGAGCTAGGAACAGGCGACAGTGGGAGGCCGGAGGAAGAGAATTCACAGAATCAAGGGCTTCATTGGTGGGAATCAAAGATGGATTCACACACCAGTGTGGGGTGTTGTCATCTCGTCTTGTTGATCCTCCTGTCTGGAAAGTAGTGAGTTTTTAGACAGACGTGGCCAGTAAGCCTTTTTTGTCAACCATCGAAAACTGTTAATTAATTACTTATTCACATGTTTACGCAAACTTCCAGTTTGGCTAAGGGAATGTGAAACAAAAACAAAAGAAAATCCACATTTACCACCTACCCCACTCACCTCTGCACCTACGCTCATACATGGTGGCAATGCCAGCTAATTATTTTGTTTTAATCTGAAAATTTATAACATTAAAGAAAATTGTGTGGTGCCATTTTACTGCTTGAAAAGGACACCCGGTAGAGACTGAGTTTATTGGAGCTGTGTGTGTGTGCGTGGTTTTGGCATGGTTTCCTTCTGAGCTGAACACGTTCTGTCCATGTTTGTTGACCTACACTTTTAGATATTAGATTTAAACTAATAGAGCGAACTTTCCAGTGAAGGAGAATTTAGATATATTTAAGGTTCGTGCATAACATTTGAGAGCATGATCCTAGAAAGGCAGCTCCCAGGCTCCCCCACAGCCAGCCCCACAGCTTCCAGTGCAGATGGCTCGCTCCTCTGGTTCTGTTCAGCCCTTCCATGTTATTCCATTTGTGTGTCATCCCCCTGAGGCTAGAAGCATAAATACATATTTTTCACTCCTCAGGATGCCTGTTCTTGAGGCCAGGAAGTCCTGGGAAACTTGTGGCCAGGGTGTAATGCCCAGATCAAAGTTAATTCTCTAGTGAAAGGTTCAGATGTGTCTCTGGTCAACACCACCCTTTTGGGTGCTTTTTAAAACAGAAACAGAAAGCTGTCCACAGGCTTTGCACTGCCCCCTCCAGCCCCACTGCACCAAACTGCTGGCTTCTGTTGTTATGTTTCCCCTATTCTCTTTGGGTTTTAGATGAAACTGAGTCCCACACCATAATTCATGGGTGTGTTCCCCTCCAGCACCCATCATTGACTGGCAGGAGGGGACTCCCTGAGGACCCCTGCCAGGGATAACTATCTGTCCTCTCAGCTTTTGCATAGTGCCCACTTACCACTTGAATGTAGAGGTTTTCTGTTTGTTTTTCTTGATGCTTGTTCCTGCTTTAGACTCTTAAGGAAGATAGTTACAAAATCTTCGATGATTTTGAATGTGTGTAGAGTCGAGTCTGTATTGAGCTGGCTTTTCTGTTCATTTGTCTCTGTCTTCTCTCCGCATCCAGATGGAGAAGAGGAAGGTAAGGAAGTGAGTAGCTGCCTTTCTCCTCATGGTTATTGGTTACTAAAAATGCCATGCTCATTCCTGGAAATAAACACATAACTTTTCAAGATGAGCCTGAAAGCCCGTTTTTCTAAGGTATTATGTTTTAGCGGGGGGCGGTCTCCCCAGAGACTGGTGAGCCCGGCCTCTGGGCCACAGGGTAGAGCTTCTGCTAGAGTCAGGCCTGGTGCTGGTAGGCGGGTACTATTCTCAGCAAGTTTTAAAGGCACAGATGGAAAAGCTTCTCAAATTCACACCTAACCCACCCTGACTCTTCTACCTCCAAACACATCTCCTTTTACTTTCTAACATCCTGTTCTTGCCTTTTGAAGCAACAGACACACTTGAGTACCCTCCTTCTAAGCCTGTGCATTATTGGAAATGAGAACCCTCACTTCTTTTTGTCGGACCAGTCCCCTCCATTCCTAAGAGGAATAAGAGCTGACATTTAATTCTCTTTAGTAAAAGCCCAATAACTATATGCTTTCCTCTGCATTTTTCTTTTATTCGTTTTTTCCTCTAATATAAAAGTTGTAAGTGTCTGTTGTAGAAATTTGGAATATACAGAAAACCATAAGAAAGAAAATACCCTATTATTTCACCTCTGAAACATACACAATGACGTTTTGGCGTAGAGTCTTCCAATCTTTGTTCTACATAGGCACACACATCTATTTTTTTTAAATGGTCATATTTTATATGCTTTTTTGTTACCTTATTTTTTTGGTGGTTTGCATGCTTTCCACAACACTGGAAAATCTAGCAGCTAGCCATGTTTGCACTGGTTGTTAGTACCGTCATTCATTTACTAGTCCCCTCTTGCTGGACGTGCCATTCCTTTTGCAGGCTTAGATCTCCAGGAGCAATCCAAGGCAAATGCTGGGATCCAGTGCCTTCATCCAGGATACAAAGAGCATCCAAGGCTTCTTGGCATTTATTTATTTATTTACTTTTATTTCTCAGTTCCTACAAGAATGTGCAGGCTGCTTAAACTTCGCAGTAAAGTGCCCGTGGGTGATGCCCACATACTTGTGCACATGCTTATGAGGTGGGGGATGTGGTAAGGAGATAGCCATAGCATGGGCACTAAATTCAGATGCATGTCCTGCATGCCCAGCCACCGTGTCAGAACAGTGATGTGACAAAGAACGCCCCCCACAGAGGAAAGCACAGACTAAAGGATTGGGTCCTCACCTGCTACATAAACCCTCTGTTGTCTCAGAGAATAGGATACTTCCTTTAGGAAAAATGGAGTATTATTTCAAGTGCGGGGCAAGTGTAGTAGCTACCTATGAAGGGTGGCTATTTTTAATGAGTTTCTAAAATGTCAGTTGCTACTACGGTCAAGGGCACACTGTGGTGGAAGGTGAGAAGACGGTAAACCAGAACACACAGGAAAACATGTTTTAGTGCAGAGAAAACAGAACTTTCAGTCACTCAGTTGCCATTTCATTCAACAGGCATCCATGGAAGACCTTTCTGTGGAGCTCCCAGCTATGCACAGACCCTTCCCCAGATGTTGACAGTTCTGGAATGTTCTACCACCAATGTTAGCTTTGTGACCCTAATGAAGTTACCTAATGTCTTTCATCTTGATTTACTTTATTAAGCAAAGGAGTTGTGCAGCTTATTTCACAGAGAGTATGGGCATCGATGAGACAATGCATGTGAAGGTAGCCTTGTATGCCTGAAATGCACAGTGAGGTATTGTTTTCTTCCACTAGAGAAGTGCAGAATAAATTAATTAAAAATTCAGATGTAGAAGAAATTATATGTCTATGGAACAAGCAGGGAAGTCTTCCCGGCAGAGGTCTTGTTGTACCTGCCAGGATGGGCGAGAAGAAAATGAGGCGGTGGACTTATTCCAGAGCAGGTGAAGTGTGGATGAAGGCTGAGACCACAATGCGGTGCTTGGGTATGTGTGAAGGCTTGGAGTGATTTAATTGCAGAGCCTCAGAGGAGACCATGGTGGGAAATTATATGCAAATTAAAATAGGGCCAAATTTCAGGTCTTAAACGTCTTGAAAATGAAATAATAGTTTTTTTTTTAAAGTCCAAAAAATAAATTGGACTTAAAAATTAACTATTTAAGTTTTCAAACTTACACAAAAGTTAGCATAATAGTGTAATAAACCCATGTACCTGTTACCCAGTTTCAATGGTATGCTGCTAACAAAGCCCACATTTGTAGCATTTGGTAAGTTCTGTTGTGTAAATACCTCCATCATGACCAATTTTAAGCTATCAGTGGTTTAGCCACCTGTTGGCAAAGTCTTTGACAGTCAGCTCTGCTCCCCAGCATGCCACTGGAAGAGCTGTCACAATTGTTACCATTTTCCAAACTTGTCTATACTCTCATCTACTTTGGTTTTTAATTTTAATTATTTGGGGCTATACTTTAAAACAAATCCCAGTCATTACGTTATTTCACTGATAAATAATTTAATTAACTTATCTAACAAATAAGGGCTTTTTAAGAACAGTCAGAATGCCATTATCACATCTTTCAAAATTACCAGTAATTTTTAAATGTTTTCAAATACCCAGTCC